AACCGGAGATGACATGCCTAAGTGACTCCCCCGGGATGGCGACAAGCTCGACAGACGTCGACAGTGCCATCCTTTAGGATGTATCTCCGATAGTTGTTGGTCTTAATAACCTGATCCTGTATTGCACAGACAAAACCCTCGGTTTCCCCGAAGAGGTCACCGAAACGTAGCCAGTTGAGGGAGGCGGCTGTATCTACGTGAGGCTCATGTAGAGCCCTGTAGTACCTCCGTGGAGCTCCTTCTCCTTCCATACGGTCTCCCGGTCGGAAATGCGCTGTACTGCCGGGTCTTGCCATTGCTCGTTGGCTAAGGATAGAGGGGTAAGTCCTTTATCACTAGAAATGACGTCATTATAGAATGGATCATCCGATCTCGCCAGGAAGTAATGACGGAGGCTGCACACTTCGCAATTATGCATGGTGAGCGCGCTCAGAAAGCCACGCCCACCATGCTTTCGCGGCAAGTACAACCTCATTACCGACGATCTCGGATGATGCATCCTATGGGACGTCATTGAAAGAAAGAAAGAAACAGATTTTATTTGTCACATGCAACACACTCAAGTGGATTACATAAAACAAATAACATTTAAGTAGTCATACAACAAATAACAACAAAAAAAAATTTTACATAGAAATCATGAAACAGGACATTCACTCCTTGTTTATAGATATGATAAAACAAAAAAAAAAGAGAAAAAAAGCAAACAATAATATAAAAAAGAAAAAATAATAATAATAAAGAACTAGATAATAAGGAGTAATGCATAGGATGTATTACAAAGACAATCCACCCGTTAATGCTGCTCTGCTCCAAAAAGGAAAGCCACTCACGATATGTTGGAATATATCAGAAGTACAACACCCCAACCCTGATTTTCAGTGGCACCCTTATATATTTAAAATAAAAATACACAAATAAGTATAAAAAAAATATATATATACATATATTATATATTCTTTATATGCAGAGGGCAGTTCTGTTGTGTTAAACCAAATATAATAACAAAAATTTATTTCTTGTATTATTGTCATAATTCTTATAAAATGTTCTTAATACTGTAAGAGGTTGCATTGAAATTCACTCAGGAGCGTAATTAAGTTTAAGCTACAAACAAATACACAAACCAGCTGCAGTACACCGCTTCATTACATAATTTCAATAAATAATATATACATACTCAAACACACACACATATACATATATATATATGTATGTACATATATATACATAAATATAAACAAGCACACATACATACACATATACACGCTCATACATTATTTATAAAATTACATACTATCAAAATATCTGCACTACTTGATTTTGACATTGCTGATCTAAGAGGAACAATTTAAATTTTTGACGGAAGCTATGTATCGATTGTATATTACGGAACGGCGGCGGCAAGTTGTTCCAACACTTGGTTGCTGCATATCGAAAACTGCCTCGAAACGCAGCGGTGCGATGTTGAGGCAGAAGCAACCCGTACGCTGAAGCTCTTGTCACTACATTTGTTAAGACGTTGTCTCGAGCCCAGCGCAATTTTTCATAGAGATTAGACGGCGTCCTGTATTTTATACAACCAAACAACAGCGTAGCAAAATGCAACTGCCACCGGTAATCCATTTTGAGCATTTTCGCATTATTAATGTAAGGTGTAACATGTGCACGGGGAGGTATTTTAAAACAGAAACGGGCACAGGCATTTTGTACGCGCTGTATAAGTTTCTTTGAACGGTTGAGAAGTCTAGGACCTATTACTGCATCCGCATAATTGAATTTGGACAGCATCAAGGACTCACATAATCTGATACGGACTTCCGTCTTTAATACATCCCTTATCTGGTATAGAACTTTTAATCTGTAAAAACAATTTTTAACGTTATTTATTATATGTTTTTCGAAGTGTAGTGCCTCATCCATCAATATTCCTAAATTTCTAATCTCAGTAACTCGATCAATATTTACATTTTTAATTGAAATTGAAGGATGATTTGCCAAAACTTTATTTATTTGTTTTTTGGTACCAAGTAGCATATATTTCGTTTTATTAGGATTGAGTACTAATGTATTTGCTTCAGACCAGTCGACTATACGATTTAGGTCTTCATGTAATTTTTGTATGGCTACAGTACTCTCATTTGGCTTGAAAGAAATATACACTTGTATATCATCAGCATATATATGATAGCTACAGTTTAATATATGTTTTACGATATCAGCACTATACAGCGAAAAAATCAAGGGACCAAGTATTGAACCCTGCGGAACACCTCTTGTAACAGCACAGCAATCAGATGTTATTTTATTGCCGTTTTCATCTATTACTTCGACAATCATTGTAGTGCGGACTTTTCTATCCAGGGCGTTAAGTTCAGTCTGACTCCACCTGAGTATGCCAAAGGTATACATGAGGACAGGCATGACCCAACCGTTATATGCATGTGTCTTATTCACACCGGACAAAAGGCTGTTAAGCACTTTGGTCAAGCGTGCATAAAACACGTCGCAAACTGACTGTTTCATACCAGCCTCATCGATACCGATGTTCTGTGACATACCCAGGTATTGGTATGTTTCAGCCTCGGAAAGGGTCCTTAAGTTGACGGGCATAGATAAGTCTATGCCCTCAGAGTTAGCAACCCTCCCCCTTTCAACATGGAGGACCGCACACTTATCCGTTCCCAGCTCCATTCCAATAGAATTGCTAAATTCACAAGTGATGTTTAGCAATTCCATAAGATGGGAGCGACTGGAGGCGAATAACTTGAGGTCATCCATATAGAAAAGGTGGGTCACTTTTGTACCTCCTTTCCGAAGCTGAAATCCCCTCCCGGAGCCCTCCAGTAAAGTACTGAGAGGGTTCAGGGAGAGGCAAAACCAGATTGGACTCAGACAATCGCCCTGGAAGATACCCCTTCTTATCCTTATGTGGTTCTCCGCAGCCATCATCCGCTCGCCCAGATAGCAAAGGATCGTACTCCATTGCCCCATACACTGCTCGAGGAAGTCTCCAACTGTACAGTCAATTTTGTACAGCTGGAGGACTCTCTTTAGCCATGTATGGGGCACCGAGTCGAATGCCTTTCTGTAGTCTATCCAGGCGGCGGAGAAATTCCGACGGTTGCGTTTCACCACTTTGCCAATGACCGCGTCAATGAGGAGTGGTTCCTTGGTTCCGCGACCGCCGCCCTGACATCCATTTTGAGCGCGCGACATCACCTTATTAGAGTCCAGGTGACGAGCGATTATCGCGCTCAAAATGGATGTTAGTGTCTTGTATATGGTCGGTAGACACGTGATGGGGCGGTATTTGCTCGGGTCTGTGGCATCCTGATCTTTAGGAACCAAATGAGTGATCCCAGTAGTGAAGAGGCTTGGGAGCGACTTCTGGTTGAGAGCCTCTTGAAACTGTCGGGCGAGCACAGCGTGACACACCATGAACCCCTTCAGCCAGTAGTGATGCAGCCCGTCAAGCCCCGGACTTTTCCAGTTCGGGGCCCTAAGGACCGCCTCAGCTACGTCATCCGGCGTTATGATGACGGGGTCCATGGGCGTAATATCCGCACACTGCCTCGCCACAACTTCCGTCCCTCGTTGTAGTTTACGGGCTCTGACCACAGGCTGCGCCAGAATGCGACCGTGTCGGCCTGATTTGGTGCTGGGCCCGTTCCACTTACTATTGGTCGCTCCAATGATTTATAGAGCCTCTTCTGATCACTCTGGAAGAGACGATTCTGGTTGAACCGTGTCGACCTCTCGGTATATCGCCGAATCCGCTTTCCCCAAGCAGCGATTCTTTGCTTCAGGTCGTCTATGCGCTCCGTCAGTTTTTGCGTTATATCCTGCTGGGACAAACTAACATTTGTCCCAGCAAACGCCATCCTGACGGTGCGCACAATCCTTGGCCTGGTATTGCCTGACCTGAAGCATATCAGTCTGCCGATGAGGGCCCTAGCCTTTGCGATACGTTCTTCAATTCTTATTCTCCAGGCTGGGATAGCACTACTTTGTCCAGTAGCGCGTCCAGCCGTGGAAAGTTTGGCGCCTATAATACGGCAGACTGCCAGTGCGGCGCCAAAAAGAATTGAGTCCGTCTCGCAAAGGTCCTGGCTGGCTTCCAAATAGGTAACCAGCAGTTCAGAGCCCTCACGACAGCCCGAGTCCGCTTGCTTAGGGCTAAGCGGGGAAGTCGCGGTCGATTTTCGAGAGGCGTACTGCGCGTTTCCACAATCGCTTCTTCCAATGTACTCCTCATTTGCTCTAGTTCCAGTTCCTGGGCGACTGTTCCATCATCGTCTGAATCAACCACAACTGGCGTGTTCACGGCGGCATCTACATTTGCCGTTTGCTCAGCAAATTGTGGCGCCGCATCCTCAGCCGCAGCATTTTCACCCGATGAAGGAACAGCCTCACGTCGTAGCCGTTCGAGTTCGGTAACATCAAATGTATTTGAGCGCAAGATATACCGAACTCGGTCTGCCAGGTTTTGCTCGGTGACGGTTACAGATGGCTCCAGCTCAGCAAAAAGTCGATGCATCCTTGCCCGATACGCAAAACCTCCAGTTTCTCCCCCTTTCGCCCTAAAATACGCCCGCAATGCGTTGCTGTTCATCTGGGTTGTCCAACGCATGCGGCGCACTCCACCAGAGGCGGGTGCCGATTGCTGGGCCCGCGAAGACCCTGCCGACACCAAGCCAGCTGGTGGGGATGATGGATGCGAGGGGCTGCTGGGTGGTCGTGCAGCACCTCGCGCTCGGCTGGCGGTTCGCATGCTGTCGCGTCCAGCGCCAGCTCCAGACGCGCCCTGGCGACCTCCAGGCAGCGGTCCTTTGCGCGTTCTATTTAATTCCATCATCCATTTATTATTATTATTGTGGGGTATCTATATAGTTTTCTCATCTGGTTGGGTTCTATAAATATATAATTATAAATGAAAATGAAAAAATAAATATACATAAATATCAATAACATAAAATAAATGTAAAGGTGCACAACAGGACGAGCGGTCTGGTGTGTGGCACGAGCACTCGTACGCGCGCGCTCGTGAGTCGCCCGGTTGTGCGCTTGATGCGCGCGAGCTGCTGGCCGCCGCGCCCCCCTCTCCCTCCTCCGCCGCCGACGATGACGTCGACGTGGAGCACGTACCGCTCGACCGCGCCGCCGCGCTGTTGGCCGACGGTCCCGACCAAGAGAACGATGTGGATGACGACGACGACGAGGAAGAGGATGAGTGGGAGGAGCGCTTGACGTCACAGGCGCCGAGCCCAGCGCACACGCGGCTGGCGGGCGCAGCGGTGCAGGCGCTGCGGGAGCTGCGGCTGGCGCGCCTGGCGGGTACGGGCGCGGCGCAGGCTGGTGCGCTGCGGCGCGAGCAGGCGCGCGCGGCGGCACGGCGGCTGCGTGGCGCGCTTGCGGCGTGCGCGCGAAGTGCGGGTGGCGCAGGGTTCGCGCGCGCCGCCGCCTGGCTGCACGGCGCACTCTCCACGCTGCCGCGGCGGCCGCGCGCGCTGTACGCCGAGCTGCTGGCGGAGCTGCGCCGCGCCGCGCCGCGGCTCGCCGACCGCTTCGCGCCGCAATTGCCGCCGGTCCCGCCCGACCCATTGGAGCCCACCGATCACGGTGAGCTCACATTGTCATAAATCTCATAACTGCACACCTTTTACAATTTGATCTTTAGAAACCACTATAATTTAAAATATTTATGTAATATGGATGACAAACGAGCACACCTTCTACCTAATGGTAAGTGAATGCTGTGACCCATCAAAACCAAATCTATCCTTGATTAATACCTATTCAAAATATATATCCGTTCCCACCCCTTAGGAATGACAACTGAAATGAAACATCTGAGTCTGACTCCGATGGTAAGTGATTACCGCCACTCATGAACAACTGTAACACTAGGAGAATTGAGGATGCGTTGCCGGCCTTTTAAAAAGGTGTAGGCTCTTTTCTTGAAGGTCCCTAAGTCGTATCGGTCCGGAAAAATCTCTGGTGGTAGTCGATTCGACGAGGAAGTTGTGTGAGGAAAAAAACTTCTTTTAAATCGCACGGCAGTGGACCGCCAGTCACCCAGATGGTTTGGATGGTATCGCGATGTGCGATGGTGAAATTGTGCGGCTGGAATTTGTCTCAATAATTCCTCAGAGCACTTTCCGTGGCAAATGCAATAAAATACGCAAAGAGATGCAACAACCCTTCGCAGTGCCAGTGCGTCAAACCGATCGGAAAGAGCTTGGTCGCCGACAATTCGAACAGCTCTGCGCTGAATGTGATCAAATGGAAGGAGCTGGCACTGGGGAGCCCCAGCCCAGAGATGCGAACGGTATTCCATGTGCGGCCGAACCTGCGCCTTATAAAGTTGCAGGCGGTGAGTCGGCATGAAATACTGTCTCGCTCTGCTGAGCACGCCAAGCTTTTTAGAGGCCAATGTGGCCTTCTCTTCCATGTGACCACGAAACTGCACGTCGCTCGATATGTCGACACCGAGAATTCCTTGCTGAAGCAACAAGGAGAGTGTCTTGAAACTAGGAAATACGACGAATGGGTTCTTTTTGGTGGTTAACGCGCAAACTTGTGTCTTCTGAGGGTTAAACTGGACTAATTTAGTCGCCCCCAATCCGAATCCTTTGTTCAGCAAAGTTTCTACTTCAAACACAAGTTTGCTCCGGTACTCTGCAACGTTTTCCCGAGAAATATTGGCACGCCCGGTGTATAAATCATCACCAGTGCTGTCGTTTGCATAGCAATGAATGTTATCGGTTTGCAACATGTCATTGATATTGTAACGCTCCGCCCCGCCCTCCTCTTCGCTTAATACATTATATTATATTATTTATAATTAATTATCCTCTTTCAATAAAATTATATATATGTGACCAGGATAAACAAGATATGTTTTGATCTTTCTAAATGAACTTTCTAAAGGTTTAATATCAGGCCGTTTGTAATATTTTTGGCGTGATCGTCTTAGTTAGGATCCTATTTACGTTGTGTTTGTTTAGTAACTTAGTTCTTTTAGGTGTCTTTTGGAAGAATGAATATTCACTAGAGTAATTGAAAGTTGTTGGTAGTGCCTTATAAGCTAAGTGAACCCCGTTCACGAAGACAGGGCTCGAGAAAGATTGAGAACATAAAACGTCCCTATTCCACTTGTATTAGGTTCACATTATTAATTTGTTATTATTTATCCCATCCCTTGGAAAGCTTGGAAAAGGCTCACAATATATTTATACATAAAATACCCGATACAAGGGCTTCACTCTCCTACATTTATTTAAAAAAAAATGTAAGGGAGGCACACGGCACACACGCCGTGTGCGTTGATCGCCAACAATTTTGATGCACTCCCCCCGAAGGGAACGCTAAATCGGGAACTGGACCGTAGTCCACAGCAAAATAACTGGCAAACCAGTAAAAGAGGCTTGGCCCCTTGTTAGTGCGTAAGCACAAACATCGACCGCAGTCGCGCATGTCAATATTTGTAACGCCACACAGAATACGAACGAATCCAGCCGCAGTACGTCACACGGTGGTTTCACTGGCCTGTAATTATTCATTTCATATTTTTCGCCTTTCTTAAGAAGTGGCTTAACGATTGATTTTTTCAATATATTTGGGAAGGTACCTATGAAGAAGGGACACATGTATCGTGCGGATAATTTAATTGCAGTGGTTGTTATGTCATCGAATCCTACTGTGTTCTTGTTATTAAGACTTAACTATCCGAAATATTTCCATAGCATCAGTAGGCTTAAGGAATATGGTACGTATATTATTAGTCGTTATAGTTTTGTTTATTTCGTCAACATTATATTTAAACTTATTGTTATTTGTCAAGTTTATATAAGTCATTAAATATGTCACTTATTTTCTTTGGGTCGTCATATATCTGATTATTTTTTATTATTCTGGCAATTTGTGTTTTCGTATTTTGGTCGTTAATGTTTTCATTAATAACCGCCCATGTGGCTTTACATTTATTTTTATTATTGTGGATATATTTCTTACTTTGTATTTGTCTCGATTTATATATGCCTTTTTTTAAGTATGGAACTATATGATTTATATTTTTTATTGAGCATTTTTCCGTTTTTTTTTTAATTATATTGTTGACTAAGATAGAGATATCTTTTCCTTATACAGGATTTTCTAATGCCCTTGTTCAACCATTTATGGTTCCCTTTTCCTCATTCCTCAGCTCTGATACAGTTTCTGATCTGAACTGCTAGTCTAGTAGTATACATAGCAGTGTGTATGGTGTGTGCGTGTGCAGCGTGCGCGGCCGGCGGCGCGGGCTCGGCGCTGGTGGTGTGGGTGTCGCTAGGCGGCGCGGCGGACGCGCGCTGGTTGCGGCGTCTGCGCACGCTGCTGGCAGTGCGCGAGCTGCGCGCCGCGCCGCCCCCCGCCGCGCCCGCCTCCCCGCCCGCCCGCTGGTGTGCCGCCGTCGCCGGGACTGCGCGTGCTCAACTGAACGACATGCTCGCGCACGTAGGGTGAGTCTCACCTTCCTTTGTTTCTATTTAATTTTTGAGGTGAAACATCTATTGTCGCACCTTGACGTGACGGCAAATAGCATAACGATCTCTTATACACTCATACTCCCTCTACGCCACCGCACTCGACTCCCTTGTTATACTATACACTTCGCTTATACTATACACTTCGTTGCTTCTCTATGTGAGTTGTGTACTGTGTGTGCCTTTGTATTTTTAATCCACTATATTTCTACTGCCATGACAACCAACATTTTTTAAATATACTCATTCTATGTGAAATATATTTAAAACTATTACAAATTCCAATATGTTAATAAAATGGGTAGCTATAATGATTCCACAATAAATAGACATGCATTTTATACAACGTTCATTGATTAATACATTGAATAAAACTGATTTTACAGATTTTATCGTTTTTAATTTGATTCATATTACTCATTTCATTTCTCGACGTTTCGGATGCTTTACAGTAGGCATCTTCATGTGTATACTCCGTAATTGAGATCCTAATACGGCACGACACACCCCTTCGCCGGAAAATGATTAGCTTTCACGAAGTTAATGTCAGCGAGACAGCAACCCGAACGGGCACACGTCGTTGCGAGCGTTCGTGCGGAAGGCATATTATTTGAAATGTTAATGTTTATCGCTGAGGATTTTACGTTGCATTGCTAACTTGATTCGATTATTTTTTTTAATTTTTTTTATTGATTTTTGTTCATTGATCGTTTGACGCCGAATCAAAATTATGGTAAATTAAGGTATACTTGCATTAGTTTAAGAACTTATTTATTTATTTATTTAAAAACTTAAACGTAACATCTTAAGCTAAAGGGGTACATAGGGCGGACTTAATGCCATGTGGCATTCTCTGCCAGTCAACCCTGGGTGCCAAGGACAATTGTTGGCAGGCGCGACCATTATACGTAAATAATTACATTTAAAAAAAAAATATATATATATATATATATATATATATACATTTATTATACACATATACATATACAATTAAATATACATATATGCAAAGTACATACATACACATTACATTTAAATATATACACATATAGTATAAATATACATACAATAATACATATATATTTATATATAAATAATATATATATACTTAACATGCTTATAAACTTCGTAAATAAATATATGAAGAATGATATATATAATATGATGTTTGAATAATATATAATGAAATAAATATCTGAAGTAAAAAAGAAGAAAAGAAAGACAAAAATTAAGGAAAATAATGTTAATTAGTAGTTTCCTTTAGGTAATGTTCTCGGAGAAGAAGTTTGAAGACTTTTTTAATTGTGGAATTCTTAATATCGTTGGGGAGGGTGTTCCAAAGTTGTATAGCTTGTATCGTAAAAGACGACCTAAAAGAATTTGACTTATGCTGTGGAAACCTTAACCTCAGACGGTTTGACTGTCGGGATGTTCGGCCGTCGATCGGATGAAAAAAATGAAAATTATCCTTAAGATAAGAAGGCGACCTTGGATCGTTTAAAATTGAATAAGGTACAAGTAAAATTCTAGAGCATTGCCTTTGACGTATAGGTGGCCATTTAAGCTGAATGATATTTGGTCATACTTACGTAAACCAAAAATAAATCTTATGGAATTATTAAGAAGGCGCTCCAACTTGTTTAGAAGATTTTCTGACAGATCTGGGTAACATACGTCGGCATAGTCGATAGTAGGTAGAATAAGGGAATGAACCAGCGTAAGTTTGGTTTCGAAAGGTAGGAAATTTTTAAGACGATAAAGGGAACGCAAGGTAGCAACAACTTTACGACTAACTTCAGAGATCTGCAATTTCCAGGTCATAGTTTTATCAATGTACATGCCAAGATTTTTTATGGAATCACAGTATGGAATCAAACTTCCATTATAAATTACAGGAGAGAGATTTCTATAATCAACCTTAGCCAATAATTGCGAACTTCCGAATATTATAACTTTGCATTTGGCAGGATTAACAGAAACGCCATATTTACATGACCATTCTCTTATGGCTTCCAGGTTATCATTTAGTTTGTGTATTACAAAGTTAAGATTATTTAACCTTGACTGTACATAAAGCTGGAGATCATCCGCATACAGATGGTACGAACAATCTAAAACCGAGGAGATAGAATTTATAAATAAGGAAAACATAATAGGAGAAAGTATTCCGCCTTGCGGCACACCAGATTCAATTTCAGCCCATGCAGAAAACCGCTGACCTGAGCGAACCGATTGCTGGCGACCGCGAATATAAGAAGAAAACCATTCCAAGGCTGGGGATGAAAATTTAAGGTGTTTAAGGATGAATAGGAGGATACCATGATCCACTGTGTTGAAAGCGTTTGAAAAGTCAATAAGCACCACCACTGTTAATTTTTGCTCATCTGAGCCCTTTCTTATATCGTCTGTGACTTTGATAAGCGAAGTGGTAGTACTGTGACCTGAGCGAAACCCCGATTGAAATTCATTCAGCAGGTTATGTTTTGCAGCGAATACAGATATTTGCTTAAAAACACAGGCTTCCAGAACTTTAGAGAGGCATGGGAGAATTGAAATAGAACGAAAATGGGTAGGGAAAACAGGATTAGGTATTTTAGGAAGAGGTCTTACAAAAGCCTTTTTCCATGCAGAAAGGTATTGACCTGAGTCCAGAGAATAATTTATAATGTGTGTTATAGCTGGAATAAGGTACTCAAGAATCATAGACACCATTTGCTTACTAATTTCATCAAAACCCACAGCCTTGGATTTAATGGCTAACAGAGCTTTTTTAATTTCATCCTGAGTAACAGGGGAGAAACAAAAGTCAGGGATCCGGAGAGGCTGCATTGATTCTATAGAAGCAATAGTTTGAGAACGGACGAGCTTTATCAGAAATGCAGAGACTGAGAGGTGTACACACAAGAGACTGACAGGTCCAAAGCTCATTCATCGTGATTTTTTTTGTAATGTAATGTAATTTTTATGTAATGTTGTAATACACAACTCAGCATTAAAATCTGTGAGTATATTTTTTATACGATAGGGTGACAAACGAGCACACAGCCCACCTGATGGTAAGTGGTTGCTGTGATCCATAGACATCTACATCTGTCCTCGATTACGAATCAAAATGCAGATGCGTTGTCAGCCGTGAGGACTAAGATGGAATGTCTCTTTGCCAGTAAAAACGGTCTCTGGTTCTCTACACTCACCATACGAAACACAGCAGCATTAAGCTACTATTTGACGCTGGTATTCTGTGAGAGCGTGGTCCTTCCCCGGTCGAGCCGACCCATTCGTGCTACAACTATGCTACTAATATAACTGCAGCATGGCTCTACCACGTATATAGTAAACAATAAGTCACCCCTTTTTTCCCATCCTTAGAGTTATTTTTTTTCCAAATTTATACGGGACCAATTGCGTGTTATACCCTACCCAATATAAAAAGAAGCATTAAAATCGATCTACTCTTTAATAAATATCATCTATTCCCTATACCCTATCGAATAAAAAAAGATTTGTCAAAATCCGACTACTCTGTAATAAATCACCTCCATTTTCCCAACCAAGGGTAAAAAAAATTCCAAATTTATATGGGACCAATTTCAATGTATACCCTATCCAATAAAAAAGGATTATCGAAAACGTGTCTATCTCTCTACTCTATTTTCCAAAGGGGTGCCCACATATAAAAGCGTATAGATATGATAATATGCAATTAAAACAATGAAATGGTTAAGGAATTGCTTTAAAAAAAGTCGCGGTTTTGGCGATATATAAGTTTTTATTCTCACAAATGCAGTTTTTTAACAACTATTTTTATCGATTTTATCGCGTTTTATTTCTTTGATTTTTAATTCCAGATGTTTCGGGTGCTTTCCAACACCCATGGTTACGGCGGACTGAGGTAACTGACGTCCCAATGTCAGTGTTAACCCGGAATACCTTCAGATTTTTAATTTTTATTTATGGTGCGATCTACAGACTGAACTTACTGTGTCTTGAAGTCTTGCAGTGGAATGCTTGGGTTTAATTTTAATTTCATTAATTACAGAGTCCTAAGCAGGTGGTAGTACCAAGCCTCCTTCTCTATTGAAAAAAGATTTTATTTTTTATTTTAATAGTCTCACATATCTGTCCTTGATAGGAATTGATGTTCCTTTTAGAGGATTTGTGGTCTATCAAATCTTTTTTTATGTCCATCTGGTTGGGGCCGTCCAGGATATGATCACAAACTGCTAACTTCCCTGCACCTTGATGCTTCATGTCAGCTCACTTCAAGGTGTAACCAATCTTGTCTGTGACACTCCTGACAAATGCTAGTACTGCACATGCTTGACTGTGGCCGGCTTCACTCGGTCACTGTGACGTAAGCGCGGGCCCGAAGCTTGTTGACGTGCTGAAGCTCGACGGCCAGATGTTTGCTGCCACAGATCCCCTGTGCTCTCTGTAACAAAGATTTGCTTACGGTAACTAACTGTGAAGGATGATGGCGAGATTCATTGTTTTCTATACACAGTGTGACCTATGGTGTTGTTAGAATTTTGGACAACTGACGCATCTAGGAAAGCTAAGGAATTATTTGCCTCTAATTTACACATCAATACATCATTCAGGAACTGAGCAGGAAGCAAATTATTAGTCTGATGCCGTGCCCAACCCAAATACCATATTACTGTCATAACATGGGCACAGCATCCAACAGTACTTTTTAATTGCACTTCTACCAGAACCATTGCCACTAATTAAAATATATATAAAATACACTTTACGACTAATGGTGATAACTTGCAATTCTAGCCCTAAGTAAAGATCAGCTAGGGCTTATGTTTATTCCTTCCATAATGCTGCTCCTCTGGTTATCACAGAGTTCTATCCGGTAGCAACCATTAAATCTTATATGCTCACCATAATAGTAGCGAGCTTGCTTTAATTGTGTGACACAAGCAATTAATATTAAGTCGCTGTAAGTTAAAACATTTTAAAGTCTA